GACCAATGGTAGAAAAAATTATCACTTTAATGAACAATTTTCATAAAAAACGAAGACAAACGGAACCAATCTTTCAACATTTTCCAGGTGGAAAATTATACCAATCAAACACAACTAATTACAATTCCCAATAAAACAATGTCTAGGCAATTCAATTCCCTGTAAAACATTTTCTTTCCACCAATTTTTCACCTTTGCAATCAAACGAACCCTGAAGACAATAGGAATTTTTTATTTCAGCAACTTTTTTTGACCCTCTTTTTTGTCAAAATAGAACGAAATATTCAATAAAATACAACTTACTATTAACTTGTCATGATGTTTCTACCCCTCCTTTTTCATAAAAAATAGAATGAAATATTCAATAAAATACAACTTACTATTAATTTGTCATAATGTTTCTTCCCCACGTTGTTAACTTGTCAATCTTGGCTTCTATAAAGTTGATTTGACATTTTTTTTTTTTATTACACACAATCTACAATATTAAAATTTGAAAAAGAAAGATAATATAATCTATTATTATGTTCAATACTGTGCTCATGTTTTACTTTGCTAAAATTAAATTTTTAGAAAATTTTAATAAAATTTAAAAATATCGGCAAAAAATGGGTCAAGGTCTTACTACATTAAAAAAAAAAAAATGTTGAACCATTTTCATAAAGATGTCGATTTTTCAAAGGTAGCTACTTCAAGACAAACATCTGAACCCCTACCTCCTTTATCGCTGAACGATTATTTAGGAGTCGTGATTTGGCTTTTTTCCTTCTCGACGATAAAATATATAATTGAAAAATTAATAAAACTTGTAAGTCTTATAAAATATGATTAAAATTAATTGTCAACTTTGACTTAAATTTTTTTTTTTTTTTCAACTTTTTTAGCTAAATAAAAAAGGCTGTGTATGCGGAAGAACTATCCATTTGCAGCATCAAAATTTCCATTGCTAAGCTCCTTTATGGGAACGTCAATCATTTACATGATTCTAGTGTCAATTTTAACTCATTGATGATATCAACTTTACACTCATGCATGCCTTTTAACACTTTCACAATGGATTTTGTACACAATAATACTGTAGAATTCAACTAATAAAAGTGTGGCAAAGAATGAATAGATCAATATAGCCTAACCCTACCAATTCATCGACATTATCGATGAATTTTCCTTTATCGTCGTCAAAAGAATGCATATCTAACTGTGTACTTTTAGCTTCACTTCTTCCTTTCCAAGTTCTTATTTTCACTTGACAAGACTAGACTCAACAAGTGACTGATTCAATTACAATCTTTCTCAATCATATTAAAATTTATCAGTCCAAGTATACCAAATATGCCGCTACTACAATTCGAAGCACATAAATAAGTAAAAACGAAACATCTAAATGATAACTATTTCTAGTGTATGAGAAAGATTCTAGCAAAGCCCAAACTTTCTATTCTACCATCCAGTGTTCAACATGACACAAATTCAGATACACGACGAACAAAACTCGTTACAGCCGGATTTTCTCTTCCGAGATTAGCATTACAATCAGATTGAAAAAAATATAAAATCAGATCAAGGCCACTAAAAAAACGCCTAGAAAATGAAAAGGTAAGTAGTGCAGGTCCATAGCACCAAGCAAGCAAATTCGACATATTTTGCCGACTAAAAACCAAGAGAAATGAGATACACAAGGACATCGATATACTTACATTTTTCTAAAATTAGATTGGTATATTAAGTTCCTGTAGCAGCTCTATCATCTGGCCCAGCAAGCATAATCTGGAAAGATTATTGATTATATAATTTTCAGTTTATTTTCTTTACCGGAAAACAGATTACAAGCGAAAAAGAGAAGAAATAAAGATTTGGGACACTTACATTACAGTCAAACGCAAATCTTCTTGCCAGCATAATAGCTGCATTTCTTTCTCTCTCTGATTCAAATGCTAAGACGAAGGACTGCCCGTCCTTTGCTTGCCAATATACTGCCTGAGCTGCCGCATTCCCACCACCTCGAACTCCACAAAGCTGAAGGTGGAAAAACAATATTATAAATGGGTGTTTTATTCCAGTTTACGGGAAACAAAAGAAGGAGCCGAACATGTAACAAATGTCATGACTAAGAATGCAGGACCATATTACTTCAGCATAAACAATATTTCAGTCCTGTAAAAACTAAGAAAATAGCGCCTCAAAGTACTCGGTTCTGATTCAGAGCATGTTTGGCTAAAGCTTAAAAAATTTACTTATATTTTGTAAAACATTTAAGGATGAGTAAGTAATGATCGTATCTTCAAACGGTAACTAAAGCATTATGATAGTGTTGACAGTAAAGGGAACGCGATGATTAACTATAACATAACATTGAGGAAGAAACAATACGGATCATCATGAATTAGTGAAGGAAATTTTCCTCGAATGAGAGGAGCCTCCATATGGTACACAATAAAGTTTACTTAAGATGCATTTGATACCTGCATTAAATTGGAATAGTATTCTTTTGCCACTGTCGTCTTTCCTTTGCAAAGTTTCATTCTCATCTTCCCCACATGCAGTACATGGATAGACTGCGACTGGTTATCCACCCCATTAATCTGGATAATAACTACCTGCAAAGCATTTATAATTCTGTATAACAAGTGAAAAGAGGAAACCTTTTTTTCGTGCACCTATGAAAAAGACGGTGTATATCGGATGAAACGAATAAAATACAGCCAATTAACATTATGAGATTGAAATTAGTTTAAAAATCCTTGCGGCAACATAGAATTTCAATGTAAATGTGATAAACTTGAATTGCTAATTACTTCATGGTAGACAATACAGCAGTGGATAGGAATGGATCGTTCATTGGACAAAATTTTAGCTTCTTTTCTTTTTATATACCATCGAGACAATCCAATCTACGTTACCACACATGCTACATATTAACACGTGTTCACAGACAATATATTTTTCACTACAGTAGAATATTTACATTGAATTCGGTGTCATGCCTTCGAACCAATGCTTCTACATAGTTCCCCAATCCAGCCGCTGTTTGGGCAAATGGAATCAGAATTATTAAAGCATACAAATAACTAAATCTGAAGTTTAAGTACATAAAAAATTTTGTCAACGGACCTGGATCGATTGGAGCAGTGGTTCTTACTGTTATTGTTTGACCATCCGTCATAATAACAACCTCTAGAAATCGTCCAACATCAAAAGGCTCGGGAGCATAAACAGATTTGGTGGCCCCTGACGTAGTAAAAAGCTTATTAATGTTATAACTACCAAATATTTTCTTAATTAAAGTAAATAATATTTTCTTGTACAAGCAAATGGAACATATAGAATTCAACCACAGAACATGCAGAGTGCAGCATGGTTACTGGAAACATGAATGTTCATAAAATGGACAATAGAAAAGAAAAAATAATAATTGCAACAAAAACAGAAAAAAATTAGAATTCACTTTGTATAGACATGTTTCACCTGATATAAGCTCCTTTCTGCCACCTTCCGAGGTTGAACGGTACCATTGAATACTACATTCCGAAATTTCTGGAGCTCTATCAGAACAACGATATATCACTAAATATGAACCCAATGCCTCTGCACCATCTATTTCATACAAGTAAGGGGTATTTTCCTTGCCCTTCTTGCTCATCGCCGCCTGAAAATGTTTGAGAATGAATGTGTAAGAGATCCAACCTAGTGTATTTTTCATACTCACTGCATAAAAATCGATCCTAACGAGTATTTGTAAATAATAATTACTCAATCAAAATTTTAGAGAAAGAATAAGACCTATACCTACTAATAACATGCAGATAATGCATTTGTAAAAAGCAAACAAACTGATTAATTAACAAGTCCTATATCTACTAATAACATGCAGATGATGCATTTGCAAAAACCAAACAAATTGATTACTTGAAGTAGTCAAATTCATTCAAATTCTGTATTTGGAGAACATCTTATCCCTGTCAAGGCCTTCTGCAGATCTACTCACCACACACAGCATTTTTGAGTAAGATTAAAAAGTTTGCTTATTAAGTGGATAAATAATTTTTCCTCTTAAGAAAATTGTAACATAACTGAGCATGTTTGGAATCAAAAAGTTACTTGAAAGTTAATTTTTACTTTTCTTTTTAACTTAGCCAAACAGGCTCACAACATATTGACTCGCGTGTGGCATAAAAGATTTTTGCTTTCCTCCACATCACACATTTTTTTCATTCTTCCTTCATAATGTCACATACTGAAAGATAATTCGTTGGAAAAGATCTCAGAAAATATTGGTGGCAAAATATTCACGGATTTAGTTTATCTCTCATGTATTGCTCACTCTCTTATAGTCTCGCATTCCTTTATACCGCACACTATTCTGCTCCTTCATTGCACCTACTATTTAGAAGAAACTATTTTCAGGAAAAAAAAAAATTCTAATAATGCTTTTGTTGAAACTTCTCACATGGTACAAGTGGAGCCCTTGTACGTAGCCCAATCAAGGATAGAAAATAAGAGAAGATGTCGTATAAATGATTTCTATTATTATTAACAAAAAAATCAAGTTTATATGAAACGTAGTTGCTGTTTCGACTTTCTAGTTTCAAATCTTCCCCAACAAGAGTTCAGAACCTTTTTCTTGTCTTTTTCATTTTTTGGATCTTATATTCCAGCTCAACTTTACAGTGATGCAGCAACAACACTTTCTATCTGCAGTTGTAGCTTTAGTATAGATGACACCAGTGTATGCGTACCTCTATCACAGAAACTTAACATTTCACACTAATCTATAACTTTCTTATCTAAGTAAACCTAGGCACAATTCTTAAATGGACATCATTATTTAATTTGTTAATATTTGCGAAGCGAGGAACAGTAAATATATGACTAAATATCAGAATGCATGCATGTGCATGACGAACACCATGTTTTAACTTCTATGTCTCAAAAGATACAAAACTCAAATTCCTTCCTGCCTCTCCTAGCTTAACTAATATGTGATTGTGGATGCAAATTAGTCATAGAAGAAAACTCATGAACTACAAAGACAAACAAACCACAATGAATAACATGGTAAAATATATGTTAAAATAAAACAGAAACCTCTTTCTGTAGCTTTAGGTAATGCTTTGATTTCTCAGCAAGTTGAATCCTTAATGCTTGAAGCTCGTGTTCCATGTCCATGACCTGCAAAATTAGTATTTCTTGCATCACATCCTCCAGCATGTGTAAGAGAAAGATTGGTATTATGGGATATAATCGAAAGAAATACTTCAAATAAAAAAAAAATGATAATGGAATACGTTAAATTATAATAACCCCAAAATCTTTTATAGTCGTTAATTATTAAAATTAGGGCATTAGTACAAGAGGATGAAAATTAGAGGATCAAATTGCATATCAGCCAATAGTTGAAGGACTAAAGTGTAATTTCCTGAACTATATATACATATTTATATGATCTGAATATTTATGATATAAGAGTGTGAGTGAGTGTGTGTGTGTTTGTGTGCGCGTATTTAGCACTACTATATATGGGAAAATTGGATGGAATTAAGAATTCATATGTGAAAAATAAGTTAGTAAGATGCATTCCTAAGTCCGTTTGAGCCACATTATTTTTTTCATTCTCATTCTTCTACTCATTTTCAACCACACATTTTTCAATAAAATAATATTTTTCATCACATCAATAAATTTTACTTCTTTTCAACTACACATTCCACATCATATCAACAAAAAAGAATGCATTCTTGGCCCCAAAATATGCACCAAACAGGGGGTGAATAAGTAAACTACCATATATGTGTGAATATATAATATATATAATTCTATATAATTACGATTGATTAAGTTAAACTATGGTATCACTATAATTACGTGCACATGTGTATATATGTGTGTGTGTGTGTGAGAGAGAGTAGTTTTATGATTGATTAAGTAAAATTATAGTATTACTATAATTACGTACATCTATGTATATATAGAGCATGTTTGAGACCCATTTTTTTTTTCAAAAAAATACATTTTGTAATAGTGATTTGATGGAGATTGTGTGGTTAAAAAATAGGAAAATATTTGGATTTACGTGTAACATTATTTTATTAAAGAATGCATTGTTGAAAATAAGAGATAGAGAAAAATATATTTTGGAAATAATGAGGATCAAACAAAGGCATAATTATATATAATTATGGTTGATTGATTTCAAATATAGTATTATTACAATTATGTGCGTCCATATATGTACAATTTATATATAATTATGATTGATTGAGTTAAATTATATAATTATTATAATTATGTTTGTCTATGTATGTATAATTATGTATAATTATATTTTATTGATTTTAAATTATATGATTACGATAATTACGTACATCTATATATGCATAATAATTCTAATTATGATCGATTAATTTAAATTACATAATTATTATAACCCATTACCTTATTTAGTGCACAATTATAGGGACGCAATTATGACACGTTCTTTTTGGTACTCTTAGATGCACCTATAAATACCACAACTAAATCACACCTACAAACACACAAATTATCACTTTGTTGAAGAAGTTATATTCTTACAGAGTCTCACTATGTTGAAGAAGTTAAATTCTCCTTTACGTATTTATTATGAATCTCTTCAAATTATCAATGTAAGTGTAGTCATACATTGTATATTGAATCATTTTTCATACTTTAGAATACGGAATTCGATTTATGAATATGATATGTTTAAGTTTAATGAACCGGAGTTCAGTAGCGCTATGCATGGTAATTATAGCAACGAATTACGGTTCTTAATTCCCGTGTCTCCCTATGTATGTTATGATTACGTAAGGGATTATGCCCACCTAAGTTCGGTTTCTAATCATCGTATCTCCTTATATACGATAAAAATTCTTAAATTTTAAATATGAATTACAATTTATGTAGCTCACTTATTGAGATTATATCTCATTGTTTATGATTTTCCCCCTTTTAGGTTATTGAGATTCGAGGCGTTGGAGTTTAGAACTCACCACTGGTGGTATAATAAAAATATTATTGAACAATTTATTATTTTACTTTTATAACTTAGTAATTCTTCTTTTCCTATTATTGTAATTGGTACAAAAGTTATATTTTTATAAAAGTTAAGTCTTTATTTTACGATACATCTTAATGATCCAAAGGGTAAATTTTGGGTCGTTACATAAATAAAGTTGTACTTTGGGATTCATGTTATTGGAAAAATATCAGAAATCTTTTAGATGATAAATTAATTTTATAGAAATAGGGAGAGGTAAATGCCATCAGAAATTTGCAATAAGTCATTTAAAAAATAAATCGTTTACATATCTGTTAACCGCGTAGAAGCCTGAACAAGAATATTGTAAAGTTTCAAGATACAGATATAAATACCTTACTAGGCTTATGCAGCATTCTGATCCGTCTAGCCTCATGCACATCTTTCATTAATTCTTCCAGATCCTAATCATTAAAACAAAAAACGTTACATTAGTGAAATGTGACTGTTACATGATACTGCATCAAGTCTAATTACTGGTTAGTTTCATATACAGCAGGTGCTGATGAAAACAGATTTGTAGATCCGACTACAAGAAGATTCCAGGCAGTAATGGCATGTTCACACGTGCAAAAAAATCACCACAAGAATACGTTCATAGCGTAAAACATATACCAAATCACATGCTGGTTATTCTTCGCAATAATGGACAAAAATATATAAATACATCAAACTACATATTTAATATGCACTCAAAGATCAATGAAAATCCAGATCAAGATTCTAGATGCAATAATGGAAGGAATATATAATTATATCAAAAGCATTTTCCATATAATTATGCAGAACTGTGTCCACCCAAAAAGTAAGAGAATGCAACCAAAAGAGTAAAAAAAGAAGATTCTCAAAATCTATGACAGCAGATGTGATACAAAAGTATTGTTATTAACTTCTTTGACTTGGATGCCCTAAGAGAGTACAACCCCATTATGAAAAACCAGATGGGTAACAGAATTGAACATGAATGTAAAAAAAAAGAATGTTAAGTGGACCTGCTTCCCTAAAGCTCGTGACATTCGTTCATGTTCCTGAAGAGCCTCTTCCACTCTCTGGACTGCTGCTCTAGCATTCTCAATTTCAGCCCGTGCAAAAGCCCTTTCTTCGTCAACAAGTTTTTTAGCATCTTGCGAAGCCTGCAAAACCATACAAAGTTATCAGAAGACAAGAAAGACAGTAAGAGTTTATACAGAAAGTTTCATGAACACGTTTGTGTCTAGGACTAGGGTATGGGTGTCCGGTACGGGTACATATCCAGAAATTGGATTCTTCTCTAAAATCTAGGATTTGAAAATACGGCTAAAAAAGATCCAAAATTTAGACATGGGTACGTGGATACATCTCAAAACTTAAAAATTACTATAGAAAAATTTATATACTTAAACACTTCATTTGAATTTCATTTTAAGTCTAGAAAAGTGAAATATAAATTAGAAATTATTTTAAATACAATACCAAACTAACAAAAATGATAAAAAGGATCTGATCTCATACCCTTATCCTTGTCATACGTGTCCAACACAAGTACTTCCTCTAAAATGGAGAGTACGAGCAACATAGGTCTGTGTTGCAGAACATGTGACAATATACGTGCATAAATAATCACATATTACACAATTAATAAGTTGGACATGTATTTCCCTATAAAATCTAATATATTCCCATGTACGTGTGCATCAGATTTTTACTACTTGGAACATTTTTGCTAAGTGAGGAAATAAGACTGACAAACAAGGAAAACAGTGGGCAAACAGATTTTCTTGGAAACGAGATAGAATAGGCATGGATGAAATTACTATCAACCGAAAACTGAAAATGATTTAGATGACAGAAGACAAGATTCAACTTGTACCATAAACCTTCTTGTACATGTTTTAGCACAACATTAGGCCTATATTCTCAACTATTTTGATTAAGGGAAAGAAATATTTGGATATCTAAAGCCTCTGTTCGGTAATGATTAAAATCTAGATTTTAAACTAAGTCAACGTAAACAATTAATTTTAACCACATATTTCATAGTACCCACTGACACATTTCATCAACATTTATCAAAATCTACAAAAAACTGATTTTAATCCCCACCAAACAGGGGCTAAATGAAAATCGAAACTGTGAACATGAATTAAATTCACATGTCATTGTTGTTCGTACAAAATATGGAAAAATCAAGATTGTAGTATATAGAAATTGATCAAATTATAAAATATCTAATTCTATGTCATCATAACATAGTCCAATATGAAACATGCAATTTAATTTGCATCTTTCACCTAGTTATTAGACAAAGAAACAGATATTTTCAGAACTTGTATAGAACCATGTCCTATGTCCCTGAATTCATATTATTGTAGTGTTAAGCATAGACACAGAAGACTTGACGTGGTGGATCATGCACAGAAATATTTATTTCATATTAGACTTATCTACAAAGAAACCTTAAAAGGAAATGTCACACATCACATAACATGTGCGTATTTTACCTGCTTGAGAAAAGTAGCAAGCTTTTTCACTTCGTCCTTTTCTTGAATCAGTTCTCCTTCCCTCTGAGTTAACTGAACTGCTAAAGCTTCAACCTGGAAATAATATAAATACCGGCAGGTGTTATAAGTGGGAAACGTTTAACAGTAAAGTGATCCTCAGAGACTCTCACATCATCTAAGTAATCACCAATAGCATATCTCTCTAAAGTTTCGAAACAAGATATGTTGAAGACAATGAAACTGAAGAGTATTCATCCTTAGAGGAACACAAGTTGAGAATAAGTAGAGAGAGAGAGATAGTGAGTGAAAAAACAAGAATTCAGTATCCTTTTTAATAGGAAATTATGCATAGTAGTTCTTCCATTCTGTCATTTTAAAAGGATTCCGTTTATCTTTTCAGCATTCTCCGGACAGGTTAAATAAATATATGTCTCGAACCAGTTTATTTAGCCCCTGTTTGAGAGAATTTTTTTTGAAAAGAATGAGTTTTTGAATAGTAATTTTTTGGAGTGTATGGTTAAAAAGTAGGGAAAAGTTATGGGTTTACGAGAAGAATATTTTATTGTGAGAATGTGTGGTTGAAAATAAGTATGAGAAAAAAAGAGTTTTGAAAGAATGGTTACCAAACAAAGGCTTAGTTCCATTGTTTCAATAAAGAAATACAAAGAAGTCTACCTCTACATATGACATTTCTATGCAAGTTTGTTCCAAGTTCAGGAAAGTCCGACTTCAATGCTCATAGTTGAAGAATTTGATTAACTTATAGTTCATCCTCATGCATTGGCTTATCAATTCGATGGTCTAGCATTGCATTCATTTGGTATAACAACATTGAAAAGAACAACAACAGAATTATGGCAGCATTCAAGGTTCACATAATAAGAAAATAAAAACAACAAACTAACCATAACAATAGCTTCCTCGACGTCATCTTTGTTTTTACCAGCTACACGTCCTCTCAATGCTTCAAGAGCATCTCTGAGCTTCTTTAGAAGCACGTGTTTCTCCAACGAAGCTGCCTCTTTGAGTCTCGCCTGGCGCCCATAAATAAATGGCATTTAGGATCATCACGTGGGCCAATATTACTCAATAAAGACGCATTTTTTTTTCTGAAGTTAAAGACAGAAAAAAGAAAAGACATGTATCTCGAGTGGAAAGTGTCACGTAGAATTTGTAAAAAACAATATTGAATATAAACCTTTCACTGGAGATACTACATAACAAGAGTAGATGAAAAGTGAACTCTGAACAGTGAGATTAAAAAGGCCAAACCTCATCAGACAACTTAGCAGCAGCAGCTAACCCTTTCTCAAATTTGCTGGCAAGATCACGAACTGAAAGTCGTTTTTGTTGCTCCAGTAACAGGGCAGTCTCCCGCGCAACCACCTCTTTCATAGAAGATATTTTTGAGTCCTCTTTGACCTCCATAATCTGATTTTTAGCTCCAATTTTATAATTTGGAAACCGACTAGAGGCAAATACTACATCAGCTGACACTGGTGAAACTGCATCCTTTTGCATTGTATAACTAAAATCCCGGACTATTCTCGTCATAGTTTAATTCGCCTATAGAATACATAAACGATATTTCTTCATTATGCTCAGAAGATAAGATAGAAGCAAGTACTTTCTACTGCAACTATTCAACCTCAAAATTATATAGCCGAAGCTCAGTGTACCTTAATTACCTCTATTATAAAGACTAACAGTAGAGAGATTTTTCAGTAAACCAACTTCAATAAATACAATTAAGGGACGGCTTTTATCAACCCAAAATCACCACATTAAGAAATTAATCTGAAAATTGGACAGTGAAAATATAAAATTGATGTTACAGAAAATCAACAGCCAAAAGATAGCATTTTTACCCTTCTATCATACTATTAATTAAAAGTTAATAAAAAGGAAGATAACTCAAAAAGTAATTAACACAACCCATAGAAACCAACAAAGATTAGTATACCATTAAATGAAAATCGCAAAATTTACGGTAGCCAAGATAATATTTCGAATAAAAAAGTAAATTTAAGAACAAAAGATGAACTTAAAAACCCTATAACTGTTATACCCGTGCGAGTTCGTGAGAGAGGGAGAAAAATACAAAAGTAACAAAGAAGACAAATTGTACTCACAGATCATGTAAATGTAGAAAATGGGATGATAACTAATCACAGGTTTGGCTTTATGATGCAATGAAACTCTGGATCAAACCCAACAGTCTGAATGTAGATATGAATGCAAAGAGAAAAAAAAATAAAAAACTAAGAATGATAAAGAGAATAGGAAAGATGGTATTATACGTTTCAAGGTTGAAATTAGGAAAAGGAGGCCGCTCACGCACCCCACGCCATCTGTATATCTACATGTATATATTATCATTTGGCTTTTCACTGCATATACTTTAGCATTCTTTGAGGTCTAAAAAGAACACTCTTTTGCCACACTCAAAAATCAAATATTGTCTTTTGTAAATTTATTTGACAATTGCTTAAGATTAAGCAAAACATAATTAATGTAGTTTAAGCTATTTGTATATCTTATGGTGCGTTTAAGCCACATTATTTTAGAAGAATGCAATTTGAAATAGTAGATTGATAATGAACTTGTGGTTAAAAAGAAAGAAAAGTTATTGATGTAATGGATAATATTATTTCTTAAAAAATGTGTAGTTGAAAATGAGTAGAAGAATAAAAGTGAAAATTTTAAAGTGGTTCAAACAGGGTCTTAGTGTTGATTAAACGACATGTTTTATTTGTATACGGGAGTAGGGAAAATGATGAAATAATGGGCCAAATTCAGGAAAAAAAACAGGTTGTTGTGTTAGAACTTGATTGGATGATTTTTTGTTTTTATTTTTCAAACTGGCCAATCGTGTATGGACACTTGTATTCTCAAGATTTGAGCCTGGATGTGTAGCATTGTTCACGGGACTAGTTGATGGATAGGTTGAACAATCTTATATGTCTGATTCTGTAGTGGAATCAACTAGTCCATTAAGTTAGACACAGAAAATTAGGTTATGGGATGGAGCCTAGTGTTACGGTACAGTATTGTAAAGATAAATTCAAGATTAAGATTCTACGTAAACAATGTATTGTAATCATATTTGAAGTTAATAGATTATTTGCATCATACAGTGAATGTAAGTTGAACCATTTAAGTTTCTGTGCATCGATCTTATTTTTTTTTCGACTATAATACTCGCGTTTGCATAATATTTAGCTCACAACATTTCAAAGTTTTACGGCTCATCGAGATATTCAACCCACAATAAAGCTACTTGTACAAAGTTGAGTTATAAAAGTTGGGTTACAAAGTGTGTTGGCAAAATTCAAATCGTTGATTTCAAATGATTTAAAAATCTATTTTTAAAACGATTAGTGTAGATATTATTTTGTCAACCAATTTTGTAACCTAACTTTATAACATAACTCAACTTCAAATAAAGCAGTTGAGAAATGTGTACTATGTATAATGATAATTCGTTATTTGCTTGGACTTCAAACTTTTGCTGTTAGGGCTCCACCTGCTGCTGCTGGTTATCATTCCCACTTTTTCAATAATACAACACCCCTTTAGTTTGTGCTAATTACGGAAAAACCCAACCTGGACAATTTACCATAAACAACCTGATGTCGATATGTGTAACTGTCAAGTGCTAATAAGTTCACGGGCTCTGTTAGGCCCGTGATGTAGTACTTCTTCATTTGCTGTCCAAATCCATTGTACAACTAACCCGATTAGGCCCGTGATAGCTCTTAATTGAAATTATAATTTTTGGAATAATATTTTTAAAAATTTTTGTGGTTGAAAAAATATGAACGGTTGAAAAAAAATGAACATTTTTCGATTTACGTATAATATTATTTTATAGAAGATTGCGTGGTTAAAAATAAGAGAGAGAATAAATTTTTAGGATAATTGGACCAGACGAGGGCTTAACTTTTCCGCCGCATTCTTATCACCAATTTTTGATTAATTATTTCTAACTTTCTTTAATTTTTTGAATTTTTTTAAAAATAATTATGCGCGTAATATATTATTCGTCTATAATTTTGATTCTACGCACGTTAAAAATAATATTTACTAAGCTTGAAAAAATTAGGATTTAAATTTCTAAATGTTTTAGAAGAAGCCAACTCACGGATGGCTTGGCTCGGCCTAACACGGCCCATGAAATCAACGAGTCAAATGGCCAAATCGAACCGCACATCCGGACACGAGCTAATTTTAAGTGTATTAAAGATCAAGTCAGTTGTCACACTTCAACGACTCGACCCATTGACCCTCTTACTCTAGACTTATATCTACATTTAACCAATGGTCCAATGTTATGAAAATCGAATCAACAAGAAAAGTTTGGGAATTGGAGTGATAAGCGGTCAAGTTGGTGCTTAAAACTTGTATGTATAGAAATGGGCTCAAAATTTCATTATAAATTTTTATTTTTTAATTTTGTTGGTTATGATTTGTAAATATACGTTCTTTCTTTAGATCTTGTATACTCTAGCAGTAGCACCAATGGCGTCCTCGAAGAGCATACTCCCACTCCTCCTCCTCTTACTCCTCCTCTCTCTCTCCACCATCTTCCTCTTCTCTCTCTCCCCATCCAATACCAAATCCCAAATCCTTCCTCAATTCCCCACAATATCAACTTCAAACTCTGGCCCAAATTTCACTCTCCTCATCAAAGTCCTCACTTTTAACCGTCTCTCTTCTCTCTCCCGCTGCCTCAACTCTCTCGCTAATGCGCAGTATGATGGCATTAACAAAGTGCATCTTCATGTATTCATTGATCATTTTTTGCAAGATTCGAATTATGGGTCTGCGGACTTGGACCAACGATTGAATCTTTCGAAGGAAATTCTTGATTTTGTCGATGGGTTTGAGTGGAAATTTGGTGAGAAGTTTGTGCATTATCGAACTTCGAATGCTGGGCTTCAGGCTCAGTGGCTCGAGGCCTGGTGGCCCAGTTCGGATCATGAATTTGCCTTTGTTGTTGAGGACGATCTGGAGGTTTCACCTCTCTATTTTAGGTTATACATATATTTTTTTTTCTGAATATTCATTTTCTTGATTTTAGGTTTACGGAATTTCTATTTGAGCACAGACGGGACTGATTCGAGGTCTGTATTTTATCTATAGGTTTCTTAAGGCTGTGATTTTGAATTACTACTATAATGCTTCGAACTTTAATAATATGATATATGGGGCATCACTGCAGCGACCGAGGTTTGTGCCAGGTATTTTCTTTTGTTATTTTTCCATTTCTTGAAGATTTTTGTTTTGTCACTTTGATCTGTAGTTGCTTAGAAAATGTGCAAATAGAGCTCAGAATTTAATTTGTAAGCATGGAACAATTATATATGAACTGTTGCATTGTATATGAGGAAATGATGGAATACAATTAGGACGTGGTAAATTTGAATGCAAACTTTCAAATAGCTTGTGAGTACTGGTTGTGTTATGAATATATACTTATGGATTAAACTTTAATCTCGAACTCTGAGAGTAATACTATAAAGTATAAAATAGGAACATGCTAAGCATACTCAGAATTCAACACATTATCTATATGGCATGCTGGCATTACTCTATCATAGCTGCAATATGTATCAGCAGTGTTTGTGCTGAAACTGGAAATGATTTCCGAGACAGAAATGAGTGGGAAACATGTTGCAATAGGAAGAATATTTAGTATTCTTTTGGCATGTGTGGTTTGACACCTTAGTCAGCACCTTGCTGTGACATAGCATGAATAGAAATTAATGAGCCAAAGCCATATTTACAACAATTCAAAGTGCATCTCACCTGCATTTTGCTTCAAAGGTATTGCACTCTTGAGAATCCAAATTCTTGGAAATAACTTCATTGGCACTTGTCACACAAACCAAGAATGCAGGTGTAACCAACTGTATTTATGTTTGTGTGTGCGTAGACATGTCACGTTTCTGGTCTCAATCTACCTTGTTGTTCATTGAGAATGACATGCAGACGAATACTAATCTGCAGAATTATGTACATCGCAAGTTAAAGCAAATTTAGTCCTTCCAAGTGCATCAAAACTTCAATGATGAATCATCTCTGCATTTTTCTTTCACTATTCTTTCATAGTGGAGGATCCATTTGATATGTTTCCTTTGGTTTCTATGGAAGCAATCATACAGCAATTTTTGGCTAAGCTGCAAAGTAACTAAAAAACTTAATAATTTTTTTTTTGCAAACAGATAACCCCTTCTTACCTATAAATGAAAAAGTTTTCTGATTTGGATATGAAGGTAATAGTTACTTTCAATAAGTGATTTGTTTCCAACTTTGACCAACAAAGAAAATTAATTTTAACTTACATAAACTTATAAAAGCTTAGCCAAACATACTGTATAACTATAGTTGAAAATATTACAGGAGTGTGACTCTCCATGTCATCT